TCCCCCCGTATGCAAATCATCATGTGTCACCTCCTAACCAATAGGAGCATGATATGCTCACGTGACTCCCTCTACACTCCTCTACTAAACTATAATTTCTCGTTTGGCAGCATTTGAGTTTGGACATGCTCTTTTATATGCTTAATGCTTCCCTTATGAAGTGGTTATTTTTTGACTTGCCCCCCAGTGGCACAGCGGTATGTTTGCGGACTTACAACGCTAGAAACTGGGTTTCGATACCCGTGGTGGGCAGAGCACAGATAGCCCTTGTGTAGCTTTGTGCATAATCAAAAACAAAAAAAAACAAACAAACAATTTTTTGACTTAATTTGCTTTCATTCAACCCATTTTTGTATTAGTTTTTATCAGTTAATTCTTGTCGCATTATTTCTGCACTCTAATTTGAAGAACCTTTTGTGTACAATGAATTCCAGAGTTAATGTTACCACTTTGGGGGTTACACCAGTGACCAACGTTTCTTCTCAGGCCTCTAGTGCGGGTGACCAGTTGGTGGTTTATCTGCTTTTATACGTCAAGAGATAAATGTTACATGGGCCAACCTTTTTCCCCAGTCATCGCCCAGGCTCCTCCTGAGCTGGCTGAGCCTGTGCCAGGTGATGAGGACTTTGATCATCATTTTCCGCCTCCAGAGTTTGCTATACCTTTCCAATCTCAACCTGAGGAACCTCCTAGGCCAAATTCGGTTTTTCTGGATCTTGTGTCTCAGGTTTGTGATGTTTCATCCCTTTCACCTATTTCTTATAAACCTGGTCCTTCCTTATTGTATGAACAATCTTTTTGATTTTTCCTTCCTGCCATTATATTCGGGTTCATGCTGATCTATTTGTGTCGTGGACACTGCAGCAACGCCAGCATTTCGTGAGCACTATACCCAAACACCAGTATCAGACACAATGTCCACAACACCCGTTGAGAACGCCCAACACTGGTACTCAGTTGACCCTAGCCCCAGTGGACCAGCCGATTGACCTTAGGGGGCCACCCCAAGGCCACCCGTCTACGGGAATTCAAGGCCAAAGTGGTGTGTTGCAGTGCCCCAGACACCACTCAACCACCAGGATCCTCTCCTCCCCTTCACGGGTCGCCACGCATGGCAAACACGTGGGTGGATGTTTAGATCCCAGAGAAAGTAACTGAAAATACAGAACCTTCCCTGGGAGGTCCCCTCACCACGTACAGGAATCCACATCGAGGGGTTTTCACAAATGACACCAGACTATTAAAAACATAAAACAGTTTCCAGATGATGACTGGCAGGATAAATCTAAAAAATAACAAATAAACTACATATTTCTTACTTTGAATACACAATTAAGATCTCAATTTTTCTTGTCTGCAAATTCTTTGGTGGTGTGAGGATAATGCTACACACAACGACCAATTTTCTCTCTCTCATTCAGTTTTGAGGTTAACCATTCTTTGTGTAGTTTCTTATTTATTCAGGTAGTGAATACAACAAAGTACATATTACCCATAATACTCACTCCACTGTCTATTCTGATGAGGCATATTTATAAAGGTAGAGTACGGACTGTACATTTGTATAGCAGGGTAACTAGGCCTAACAGCACTTAATCTTGGATGGGAGACTGTGGAAATTCCTCTTGAAGCAGCTGACCTACGACGCAACTCTAAAACAAAAAGTTAAAGTTAAAGTAATTTTCTAAATATGTACCACATAACATCCACTGTATCTTCCTCTGAAAATTAATATGTGTAACATTCTTACTATCAATATTTTAAACTCATTCTAATTTACATAAATATATTACTTTTATATTTTCTATTAGTCTTTCACGACGACTTGTGTTTCTTAAGCAAGAATAGATGGAATCAATATTAAGTTCATAATTAATTATTCTTGTCATAAGACAGTAGTATTAGGCCTATTATATACATTTTTAACACTACTTTTTTTATTTAGTCCCTTAAATTTTTTTAAAGAAGAAGAAGAGTGTATAATAATATTTCAACCACACTACGTCCAACATATCCATACAGATATGGCAAACATAGTGTGGTTGAAAAACTAATATTCACTCTTCTTGAAAAAACCTAAGTATACTAAATAAATTTATGCCTTTGACAGCTTACGTTTTTACAAGTCTATAATGTTTTGAGTAAAACAGTCCCTTTTTATATAAAAATATGTGTTCATTTTATGTACGTCTATACATATGCCCCTATATTCCTGCAACAATATAAAATTTTCATAATATGGATATGGCAGACATAACATGGTTGAAATAATATCATATGCTCATTTTTTTCCTGAAGAACTTTAATTAATAGACTATACAAATAATGTAGTTTTAACAAAAATAACAGACATAATACGAATACCGCATGACAGTTATAATTAATTATAATCATGCTTTCTGAGCTTTGAAAACAACTTTCATATGTTATAATTCTCCTGTACTGAAAATGTATTTCCAATAGGTACTTACCTCGTCCTCTCACAAGATTAGCTATTCTCCTTCACTGCTGCCTTCTACTCCTCCCCTATTGGAATTGCTATATTCCAACATGTCTCTCATGCAAATCATCATGCATCATCTCCTCACCAATAGGAGCATGACATGCTCACGTGATGCATGTGACTCCCTCTACACTCCTTTACCAAACTATCACTTTGAAATTTGGCAGAAGATATCAGCATTGGAAAAATGTGGGGAGAAAGGGTGGGAAGTGAGAAATACATTTTCAGTATATGAAAATTACAACTTACAATACGGTACTACCTATGTTCACAAGATTAGCTAGAATCCCACATTGAGAAGGAAGAGGGACAGGTGAGAGGGAACAACAGAAGTACCCCTCAAAAGCATCTATAGGATACCCCTGAAAATAAGAGATACAGATCCAAAGATCAGAAGAGGGGAACTGCACCACTTCTGAGCCAGGTATATTCTTTGTGCAACTTTGGAATGTTTAAGATATAGTGGCAGAAAATGAGAGGAGCACATCCGAATGTGAGAGAATGTGGCAGGAAAGTGCTCCTAACCATGGAAATATGTTGTAACTCAATCCCACAATGAAAAAAGTGGGTAAACAAAGGATGCACCCTTGGGTGTAGAGTGGCTAGTGCGTGGCAGACCATACTTGGTCAGTCAACTACAACCAAAACCTGCCCATGGGGTACCGACATCCGCACAAAGGTAGGATGAGGATCATACCATCTTCACCTCAAACCAGGGGATTGAGAACCACTCCGATTCCCGGGTATGAAACAAGGATTACCTCTGAGCTATTGATCCGGGAACTTGACATCTGGTATTGAAAGGATGTTTATCGCATGCAATCAACTCCCCCAACCGTGAAACAGGTCGGGACTATCCAAATGGTAATAACATCTCCGCAAGAAGAGAGTGAGAGGAAGTCAAGGACAGAACCGTAAAAACACCATGTATCACCAGTGTGACCCACAACACATAAAGAGCAAACAGTGGAAGAAGATAGGCAACCCACACCCATGTGAGGACTTATGTTGATTGGTTCACTCTAATCCAAAAAAAACTCCTCACAGGGTAACAACATCTACGTAAGGGTAGGATGAGGGCTCCCAATCAAAGGGGTGAACTGCATTTTGACATCTCACTCCATTGTATTGATTATCACGGATAGGAGGATATTATGTCATCTAAACTCGCAAGTTATCACCACCCTAATCTATAACTGAAATAGTTACTGTGTGGAACTCATTCAGCAGGGTGCCTCCATGGTCAACCACCCCAGTGGCTTGGAACTAGACAGTGACAAGAACTCTCATACTCCACTTGACGAAAGGAGGGAGACAATATGGTGGTTAGTCTGGGGGAATGTCATCACAGGAGACAGTACAATGGGTGACCATGAAACCATATTTTGAAAAGCAGACCATACTGAATAAGTCACTCTGGGCATGGCAGGGATGGGTAGTAATCCTCTTCTGCTTTACCCATGCAGTCCATGGGCAGTGCAGTCCAGGACAAGCATGTTTACGAAGCAAAATATTGCAAGGTTATTCACTGTCAAGTGATCTTGTGGAACACCCCATCTCAACAGGGAGTGTGCAAAGCCATGGAAGATAAAGCATGAGTCATCATTGCTGTACAGTGCAGATTTATAGAGCTAAAGAACACCTAGTCAGGCACTACTGGCCACAAAGCAGGATCCATGTGATAAAAAGGTAGATTAAGGCCGTGAAAAAAGTAAGAATAAAAACTTACTACTTAGAGTCGCGGCAAAGTCTGAAAAATGGCCACAGGTGGTAGACAAAACCCAGACAAAGAGAAAGCTGCAATATGATGAACATACTGGGATTGGTCCATATGTCAAATTGCAGAATATCGTCCATTACACAATGAAGACAAGAAACAAAGGAAAAAGTGAGGTGTCAGATATGATGGGAGGATACCTGGAGCAAAGGCCAGGAGGAAGAAGGTAGGGAAGATTAGACCAATTGAACCAAAAGGCAAACCCAATTGGTAAAGGTAGAAGGTGAAAGATCATGAAAAGAGGAGGATTACCAGAGGATAAAGACTCAGGATCATGTACCCCAGAAGGCAGCAGTACAGCTATATAACAATGAACAGTACTGACTGGGCACAGAAGCCTATCTGGATCCAGTCCAGGGTACAAATAGGAAATAGATAAAAGGGAAATAGGAGAAAAGGAGGAACCATCCTCCCAAGCTCCCAAGGTCTGCAGGAGAAAGGATTGATCTGGATAAAGGAGAAGATAGGTAGGGTGATAAAGGGTACATGAACTGTTAATGGCAAACAAATTGGATCATCAACGTCCACAGGCTAAGAGAAGAAGGAAATATGTTTTAAGGGAAAGATGAAACATCTAACACAATGAAAGTGGTTCAAATGGGTGTAAAGTAAGGGAATGGAGGACCACATTAACATCCCAATCCGGAAGGGCAGGATGCCTGGGAGGGCGATGTATCTGGAAGAAATGCATGAGCATGGTAAGAACAGGGAAAGTAAAAACCCTATGATATTGCAAAGAACAAAAAGTATAGGATAAGGCCGCCCAATATTCGGAAAGCAAGGAGATCGAAGACTCAAGGTTGAAGAGCCAGGTGAGAAATTCTGCCACATGATCCACGATAGGCTTGTCAGCAGGAAACCTTCGGGTAGTAGACCAACTGCTAAATACATTCCACTTGCGTTGGTACACCTCCTTGGAAGATGGACAGAATGAAATAGCTAACAAGGAAACAACTTGATATGTGAAACTGGATCATCTCGCCAAGGACCAGACAAAAGCTACGTGTGAAAATGCAGGACATAAAGGCTAGGATGTAGGATATGTGATCAAGGTTGACAAAGAAGGGAGGGAGAAAGTGAAAGAGGAACACGGGGAGAGGAGCTGTCGTTGTAACCTTGGAAACCAAGGCTGAGCTGGCCAATAGTGAACAAGAGAAATCACCCAATGGGTGGGTATTCATAAAGATAGTTGTGTGACTAATCCTGGATGAAGACATCAACTGCCAGAACTGTGGATGAGGTACAGATGACCAAAAGAGAGGTAACTTGGTGTTGAGGCCCACAGCAAAGAGTCCAACTGATTCACTTGAAAACGAAGGGATCTAATGCCCACTCTGTGGGATATAGCTGGTCGGGGTGCAAAAGAGGATCTGTGACCAGACTGAAAGTACCTGGTACATGGCATGCAATAAGACGAATATAATGTGCATGGGCTCAGTATAATAGATCAAACATCTGAAAACAGATCTCTGGCTGGGTGCGTCATTGGTGGTTGATATGTGCCACCAGTGTAGAATTGTCCAAATGAACCACCACCAGACAATGTCAGGTGAAAAGAAGGAGGCGATGCAAAACACAATGTATAGCTAGAAGTTTGAGAACTTTGAAATGCAAAGTGCATTCATCTGTAGATCAATGGTGCAAAGCTTCCTGGTGATTGGCCCATGCCCTAAGCCCTGAAGGGATGCAGTCGTAAAAAGATGTAGATCCGAATGCAGGGGAGGAAGCAGCATGCCCACCAACGTATGACATTTGTCATGCCACCAGTGCAGATCGTCTTGCAAAGAAGGAAGAAGCGAAATGGGGGTGGAAATAGGATCCCAAACAAGGTTCCATTGTTCATGAAGCACCCACTGAAGGGATCTCATATTGGCACAACCGAGAGGGACCATTGCTGTCATGGAAGACCACATCCCGAAAAGCAATAGAACCTCGTGGGCAGTAAGTGAATATGCCAAGAGGGTATGGAGAATCAACAGTTCCATTGATCAAAGTCGTAAAAGAGAAGACAATGTTCGATTGATATTTGTATCCAAAAAATACCCTCAAATGGACAAGATATTTAGTGGATCTGAGAAAGGACTCTCCAATTCAATCAACCAGCCCACCCGAGTCACCACAGAAAGGAGCTGCCGAGTATGATTCACCAATTCCTGTACAGAATGAGCCAGAAGAAGCCAGTTGTCCATATAATAATGAAATCTCAGCCCCAGAGCATGGAGATGATGTGCAAAAGTCAGAAGGAGAGAGCCCAAAATTGGTAAACCACCCCGAGATGGACAAACTGAAGATAAGGACCAGACTGAATATATGTAGGTAAGCATTGGGGACATCCATTTTTGTCATCCACAATCCACAACATGTCGAGGGTAAACAGACCTGAGACAAAATGGCATCATGACCTATAAGGTCCCAACAACAAAGAAACCACATATTTAATGCCTGAGCTGAAGACGATATGTGGGCTAAAGTGGAGGATAGAAGGGCAAGAGTATCTGTAGAAAACCACTCAGGATTTCTGTGGAGAGCCTTAGATAGGAGGTGTATGGAAGAAAGATACCATAAGAAGCTGATAAAGGTAAGATGCAGGTGAGAATATTGGGCATGGGTAAGACTGACAGTTGATTCGGGAGTTGTCCCCCAAATAGGTAACAAGGAACCTAACAATTGCTGATCTAAAAATGGATAGTCCACCCAATGGTAAGAAAGGGGGAACTGATCAGAAGTCCTTGGGGGTCAAGGCATGTTAATCTCCTCACTCAATTCACTGACCCCACCCGCCATGGAGTCCTACGAGGGGACGCACTACAATGTCAAACAAGGGCAC